AGTGATAAAAGCAAATTTCCATTCACTGTGTTAGCAGAAAGATGACTGCTTTTCTCTATACAAAGTATTACAGGTTCCTAATCAAGTGAGAAGCATACTGTCCTACACATGGAAGACAATTTTTTTCCTTGATAATTTGCTCCTTGTGGTAATAAACAAAAATTATGGAGGTCAACTGTTCTGAGCTGCTGCATACCAGGCCCAGCAACTCAGACCAAACCAGAATGGGGCCACTAATGGAACCGGCACCCAATTCACCCAAGCTCTAAGACGGGCTAGCTTTCCAAAGGACAGGAGATTTATGGCAGCCATACAGGAGGGCTCCAGGCCACCTGAGCCCACGGCAGAACACGTCCTCTCTGCTCTAACCCCTAAGGGAGAGTGCGTCTGAGATGACTGGGAGGTTTTCCGTTTCTTCCGCATCTTGAGCCCTCTGCCTGTAACCCCCACCCCATGCTCAGTCCATGAAAACTCCTTCTTAGCTTATGGGGGTGGGGGATATCCCTGATCACAAACTGGTAATAGTTAGATCTTTAAACCTTGATTTGTTGGAATTTTGTTTTCTAATGGTGGTATATCAGCTTGTGAAAAAAAACTGTAAATATCTATGTTCAAACTGATTTTATGCAACTGAGTTAATCATGATGACCCACAAAAGTTTCCTCCACTCTCAGTGGATAAAAGCCAATTTTCTATGGTTGCTCAAGCCAGAAGTCTGAAAGGCATTCTTCATTCCTCTCGTCATCACTGCCAGCTGGGTTAATGCCCATGGATTACACCTTTTAGCTTTCATTTCTTACAAAAGGTCGCCCCGTTGCCTTTTCTTTCTCACTCAGACATCACTCCCTGTGAGGCTTCATCTGTTCTGCTTGATTCCGGAACGCATTCCTAACCTCACTCCACACTGTGGTGCATCTGAGACAGACAGGTATATGCCGGTCAGTGCTTCCTCCTACAGTTTGATCCCACACTGAAACATAGCTGATTTAGATCTGATCTCACTCCTCTTGCTAGGAGACAACCAATCATCAACATATCTTCCAATATTTTTTGGACAATTGCATTTAGAAATGCTGTTTAATTTTTACAGGAACAGCATATCGGAAACTTTCTTCAATACAGCATAGACTTTTTCATGACTAAACATTCAGATACATTAACTTTTTAAGGCACGGGGTTGGTGACTTTCTCAGAAAGGATTTATTTGCAGCGAGGTGCGGTGCGGGCCTGAGTAGAGAAGCTCCACGTGCTGGTCTACGACCCGAAGTCTCACCTGCAGCAGCCAGGTCGTGGAGCGGCTGTAGTCTCCATATGCCAGGAACTTTGTCCAAGGTTCCCACGTGGGTGGCGGGAACCAAGTCACTGAACCACCACAGGCTGTGTCCCAGGGACCTCAGCAGAAAGTTGGGACCCAAACCAGTGACTCCAGGGCTTAGCTGGCTGTGCTGTAACACTGGCACCCAGATCTACCCATGTGACTGCTCTATTGCATTTCCTGTGTCATCTAACTTCACGCAGCCTTCTACCGACGCTCATCCTTCCACACTCAGTTTCTACTGTTCTTCCCTTCTTGCCTTGCCCATTGTTACTTTGCAATATTCCAACCGGGGACCAAGTATCCCTGAAATGTGACTAATCATTTATAAGGGGTTCAATTTGTCCGAGAGTGCTTCTGGAACCCAGGCCTTGCACTTCACAATCCCTTCTCCCACCTGGCACAGCTCACATCTCACTTTAATATTCTGCACTACACACAGAGACACAAGTGTAATAACTTTGAGGATAGCAAAGGATAATTTGAAAATTTATTTTAATTAAGGTACCTTAAGAGTTAAACTTTTGAAGTTATAACTTGTGGTATGCACTGTGTTATAACTTGGGGGATGCATAATAATGACAATAATAGCTCAATTTAGAAGAAATTTTAACACTTTAAAAAATACTTGAAAGTCAATCTTCCATCCACTGACTCACTTCCCAGGTTGCAACAGCCACAACTGGGCCAGCCTAAAGCCAGCAGTTCCATCTGTGTGGGCGGTGGGGTTACAAGCGCTTGGACCACCCACTTTTCCAGGCCCATTAGCAGGGAGCTGGATCTGAAGCGGAATACCTTGAACTGGCACCATATTTCATGCTACCCTGCAGGCAGTGACATAACCCACTATACTGCAATGCTGGCACCTGCAAATTTTTAACTCCAAAGAGACCTTATGATACAGTCTCATCGCCAGAACCACAAAGGCATATTCTATTAACACAGAATCCTGACATACAAGTGTTAAAATGCTTTCAAGGAGAGAGATGACCCAAATAAAACTTCCAACTGGTAAAGGATCAGCTATTCTTAGAATGGATGATGGTGGCCATTTAAATCCTCAAGGTTCAAAGGACCATTTGCAACCCTCATCAGAAGCTACTTCTTTCATAACAGATGGAAAATTTGAGATAAGGATGTGCCGAAGGGGGATCGAACAGAATCCCAATTTTCCTCAGCAGTGCCCAGCACTCCTCACACAGGGAGGGCACCTGCTCGTCTCTCACCCTCACACAGGGAGGGCACCTGCTCTCCATCTCTCACCCTCACACAGGGAGGGCACCTGCTCTCCATCTCTCACCCTCACACAGGGAGGGAGCCTCCTCGTCTCTCGCCGCACCTTCCTCCTACGGCAGCCACCTTGTTCTCCACGGTAAGCACATCTCCACACACGTTCCCGCCGTACTACACACTTCCCCTTTGCAACCTACTTGTAACTTACCATCAGAGACAGCTTCATTTCACTGTTAGCATCCTAGTGCCCAGCAGTCTACAGGTGTCCACCCCTGGACAGAGGGCGACAGAGGCAGACGGTGGCGGGACTTACGGCTTACAAGATGTGACTGGAGAAGGCAGGAAACGGAAAAAGAAGGGATGGCAGCCAAAACGAGGGTAAAAATGTGATTGTTTTAACAATCGGACGTAGGTATGACCTAGAGAATGACCGAGAAAGGGGCTCGGGTTAGAGATCAACAGGGGACAAGAGAAGCTTAAACTCTCAACGTCTCCATGCCAACACATCCCACGATAGTTTACAACTTGGTAGCGTGGAGTGAAGCACAGGACATGTCCTCCTCTGCACTGACTCCACAGAGACTGCAACAACAGTTCCTAACAAGGGAACTGAAAGATAAAATGGGAAGTAAACCGGCATTGCTCAATGTGATCTCCATCAAGTTCAAGGTGTTTTTGTGATGATACCAGCCACTGAAGGCCGATCCTTACTGCAATGCAATCCTTAGAGAAACAACTTCCCAGAGCAGAAAGCTCAGAGACAGCGAGTCAGGACTGTGAGGACCTAATGACTCCTGCCCAGGCCCTGCGGGAGCGCCGAGGACCCCCGCCAGGCCGAGCTGTTCTCTGCCGGAATGTTCCTCAGCGTTTCTCAGGTAAAGCTTCAGCTAGCGTTCTCAAGTCACTTTCACAGGAAGCAGAATTTGTCATTTTTGGTCGTCCAGAATGCCTCGAGCATCCCCTACAGTGTCACACGAGCTTTGCTCCTGGCTGGGTCTCTGTGGCCCAAACCGCTCCCACCTCGTGGTCTGCCTGGGCCTTGACTTCAGAATTGCACTGATAAACCAATTTCACTTCCTGGTACCATTTTTTGAACACTTCCGGATCTTGGTTTCGTGGGTTTAATTTCCGTTGACAACTCCGTGCATGCACCATCTGAACCTTCCAGCCGGAGCTGCCTCATTAGCTGAGCCTGCTGAATGTACAGGGAGATGGCTTCTCCTCCTGCTACCCGTCAGGGCACGACTCATCTTTTCCACGCACTCTGATGTAGATGGTCTGCCACTGTGGGCTTCGTCTGCCACACCGCTCAGGCCTCTGAAAGCGAGGTGCCGTCTGTGAGCTGCTGGCTGCTTCCCAGCACTGTGCCCATGCACTCTGCTCAGAGCATCAACGATCCTGCCCTTCTTCCACCCGATGGTGCCTCAAGCAAGCTCCTGCTCAGACAAGCTGTAGTGAGCTCATTTTGGTGCAAAATTATTTTGTTACATCTATGCAGTTTTTTTACAGTAGGCATTTCCCACGAATCCATGTGAAGACCACCCATGTGAACACAAAACAAGTTTCCTCCTGTTCTCTCTTGAGGCTAGTGTAAGCAGCACGGGCGTGTGCAGCAGCCACAGCCACGGGTGGCTCCCTCTATACTTGTGGCTGCCACATCTGAGCGCCCGGAGGAGCATCGCTCCCCCTCATCACCCAGTACCTGCTGTCTGAGGAGCCTGCTACACCCACAGGTCACCCAACAACCAAGAACATCGCTAAGTTTCACTGCAATGCCTTCCTGCCTCAAGCCACCCCACAGGCTTCCATTTTGGAAAGTCCATTGTTTTCAATGAAAGCGCTGGGTGTTCTTCCAGTAGGTACCCATCCTTGGGTTAGGGGTTACACAGAAAACCAGTGACCCTAGCTCAAGTCCGATGGAGGGATATTCTGCCTTCCCAGCGCGTCAAGGTCACAAAAGTGAGGTGTTTGATAGTCAGGACGGGCACACACTTCAGACACCACACACACGAGGCCCCTTATTTAAAAAGCAAAGAAGACCCCAGGCAACCAGCAAGTGTCTGGGCAGGGACGCAGGGGCGCAGGGGTCTACCCAGCCACGAGGAACTGGCCGGCCGCTCGGGCTGCCTCCTCACAGCGAGGTGCGGCAGCGCCAGGAGCCAAGCCCTCTCAGGCGACGCAGGGGCAGCACCCCGGCACCCAAGGGCGCTCGCAGCATCCATACCCGGCCTGGCCGCACCTTCCCGCCGGCTCCGGCCTCCGCCCGGCGCGCACGCGCACTGCGCCGCAGCCCGCCCCAGCGCGCCGGCGCCGCAGCCGGCCTTCACCACTCAGGAGGCGCGTTACTGCGCCGGCGCCCCGGGCCCTCCGGAGCGGGCACCATGGCGACGGGCGGCCAGTCAGGAGGCGCCTTGTTGCCGCGGAGCCCCGCCCCCGGCAGGGGCCCTCTGCGGACGGGCCGGGGTCATGGGTTGTTGAGGCGCTGCCCAGGAGCCGACCCCGGCGGCTGCGGCGTCCCCGTGGCCAGCGGCCGGCAGCAGCGCGCCGAGGCCGAGCAGAGCGCGCGGCGCCGCGGGCCGCTCACCCGGGAAGATGCTGCTGTCGCTGGTGCTGCACTCGTACTCGATGCGCTACCTGCTGCCGGGCGTCGTGCTGCTGGGCACGGCGCCCACCTACGTGCTGGCCTGGGGGTTCCTGCGGCTGGTGTCCGCCTTGCTGCCCGCACGCTTCTACCAGCGGATGGACGACCGGCTCTACTGCGTCTACCAGAGCATGGTGCTCTTCTTCTTCGAGAACTACACCGGGGTGCAGGTGAGGTCGGCGCGTGCCTGCAGGGCCCGCTGCGGAACACGTGCCGCGGGCACCCGGGTCCTGGCTGCCCGGGAGGCGGCCCGAGGCCTGCTCGCGGGTGCCCCGGACGTCGCCGGGGAGGCGCAGTCGGGCGGCCGTCTGGGGTCGCCCCTCGGCGCGGCTCACGACGTGAGGGAGTGGGTGGGTGAGCGCGTTCGGTGGCGCAGAGCGGAGATGCTCCCCCTGAGCTTGCTGCAGACCCCAGGTGCGCTTTCCACCTGCGGATGGAGATGACTGGTTCTCTGCGCCTTCCGTAGCCCCCGGGGGTCTCGGGAGAAGCAGCCGTGCACTGTTGGCCGTTTCTGCCAGAGGGGCAGCCTGGCCATGGCTGTGGTGCCGTCCAGCCCGTCGCCGTCCTTTGCTGGGAAGGCTGCGGCGGATGGCACAATGCCGCCTTCTCTTTCTGCTCTCTGTTCTTTCTTTCCACCTAGAGCAGCTGTGTTCGCCCTGTGGCTAGCCAGCTACTGTATTGGGTTTCTGCTTGCGCTCGCCAGCGTTCCAGTTGGCGCTTGTTTAAACCAGTATCTTGTCTTTCCCAGCAAAGAAAAAAATCACTGTTTCTGATCAGGATTTCCCGGTGACCGACTTTGAAAGTGGGCCTCCTTGAACAGTCACCGATTCAGGCTGACTGCCCTTCAGGGGCTCCACCCCCTTTGTGCCTGCTTTGCCAAGTTTGTTTAAAAGTACGGTTTTTATCCTAATTAAATTTTAATTTGCCATCAACTGACAGTTGGCCTGAGCTGAGTTACATACTTAGCACACAGAGCCAGCCGTCACTCTGAAAAGTAATTCTGCCTGTGGCCGACTGCAATGAGCAGCGCTCGCTCTGCAAGGCGTTAACCTACATTACTTATTTTTTAATGGTTGTGAAAACTTCAGTTTTTCTGAAACTAGCATGCTTTGCCATATTTCTGGTGACTGCATATTTCCACTTGACGTTTTCGTGTCCAACAGTACGTTATTAAAACATTTAATGGAAAGAATTCCCACTCTCGGTTCTTGCATTCAAAGGATCCATGGGTGAGGACCCTCAGGTGTAATTCAGAATTTGGTGTGATGTGGATTCCTTGATGATGTGTCTTAGGAATCTGAGAATCAACTGTGCATGCCCATCAGGTGAGGGGTGCAGGCATTTAATGAAAAATATAGACATTGCTGCCCCAAGGTTTCTTGTTTCCGCCTTGTTACAAAGACTTGAGCAGTTGACAACAATGTCTTTTTAATGTGTTCTCTTTCTGATCAGGGGTTCCTGTGTAGACAAGGCTGCCTTGCAATAATTTTGATTTTATCTCTTATAATGAATAGAAGAATAAATAGCTATAAACCCAAAAAAAACTTTAGTATTTTTTTTAATTTAGAAGAAATTTTTAATTTTGGTGATTTGTGTAGTTGGTCAGGGTGGGAAGGATGGAGGTTTAGGGAAAAGTGGGTGTGATCATGGTTTCTAAGCTTTGTGTTTCTCATTCCTGTTCTGGAGGAAGGGAGGAGGTAAGTGGAGGAGCCGTGCCCAGCCTCCCGACCACATGGCACCCCGCGATGGGAAACACCCAGTGTCAGTGCGGGCTCCCACGGGCTGCATCTGCCGAGGGTTCTGCCCAGGAGGTTTTGGTATTTCTGAGATTCTCGCTGAGCCAAGGCTAAGCTACCTCTTCCAATGTCCACTGGCTGACATCGTCCACCTTAGAGTCTCCATTTGCCCAGATTTTTGCTCTGGTGACCAAGATTTGGCAAACAGTGATAGTAAGAAGCATTTTTAATTTTTTTATCTTTTTTTTTTATTGGAAAGGTGGATATACAGAGAGGAGAGACAGAGAGGAAGATCTTCCGTCCGATGATTCACTCCCCAAGTGAGCGCAACGGCCAATGCTATGCTGAGCTGATCCGAAGCCAGGAGCCTCTTCCAGGTCTCCCACGCGGGTGCAGGGTCCCAAAGCTTTGGGCCGTCCTCGACTGCTTTCCCGGGCCACAGGCAGGGAGCTGGAAGGGAAGTGGGGCAGCCGGGATTAGAACCGGCACCCATATGGGATCCTAGGCGTGCAGGGCGAGGACCTTAGCCACTTGCGCCACCGTGCCGGGCCCAAGAAGCATTTTTTAAAGTTAACTAATTTATTGTTGTTATTATAAACTGAATCCCTTTGTTTTATGTACAAGGAGCTTAATGTGATTTCCCAAAGTGTTGATGTCTCGGAGCATTCATTTAGGGAAAATGTCTTAACCCAGCTGGACGAAATGGAAATCTGTGCGTATCGGAAGAAACCGTGGCAGCACGGTCGGCCGTCCCTCCAGATCCAGCCATGCTTGATGGAGCACACTGGGCCAGGGCCGGAACCCGGGCGGTCCGGCCGTGCTGGATGGAGCACACTGGGCCAGGGCCGGAACTGGGCCAAGTCTTTGTGGGGGGCTCCGGTCTGCTGCAGGGCAAGAGGGCTCAGAGAAACATTGTTATAACCACATCCTGCCTCCTCAGGTTTTGTCTTTTTCATCACTGATTTTGTCCATTGTGTCTTAACATTTTAGGTATTTTGATTTGTCTAGGTAATTTTTCACTTAAATTGCTTGATTAGCTTGCATTCACAAGGCTGGTGATGATCCCCCAGCCTATTCTGAATAAAATATAGTGTTTTTTTTTTTTCTTATTTGGAAAGGACACTTTAGTAATTTAAGAATTGTTTGTTTTTTAGAGTTATTTCTCTTATTTGAAAGATTTTACACAGAGAGGAGAGACGAGATTCTCTATGCCCTAGTTTGTTCCCCAGTTAGGCTCAAGGGGTAGAGCTGGAAGAGATCCAAAGCCAGGAGCTGCTTCTGCATCGCCCGTGTGGGTGCAGGAGCCCGGGGACCTGAGCCGTCCTCTGCTGCTCTCCCAGCCCAGGCCACAGGCAGAGAGCTGGATTGGAAGTGGAGCAGCTGGGACACGAACCGGTACCCCAGGCCAAAGGATTGGCTTGTGCACCACTACCCGACCTCGAGGGGGCGTGTGTGTTTTTTTTTAAATGAAGGAAGTTTATCATAAAATCAGATATAGGGCCCGGCGCGGTGGCGCAAGTGGTTAAAGGTCCTCGCCTTGCACGCCCGGGATCCCATATGGGCGCCGGTTCTAATCCCGGCAGCCCCGCTTCCCTTCCAGCTCCCTGCCTGTGGCCTGGGAAAGCAGTCGAGGATGGCCCAAAGCTTTGGGAGCCTGCACCCGCGTGGGAGACCCGGAAGAGGCTCCTGGCTTCGGATCGGCATAGTATCGGCCGTTGCGCTCACTTGGGGAGTGAATCATCGGATGGAAGATCTTCCTCTCTGTCTCTCCTCTCTGTATATCCGCCTTTCCAATGAAAAAATAATAAAAAATAAATCTTTAAAAAAATAAAATCAGATATATTGGAAAAGTTTTTCCAAGTGTCATTTTTGTGTTGTAATTCTGGATTTAAGAACAAATGGTTCCTCGTTGTTGCAGAGTGGAAGAGCAGTCAGCCCGTGAAGTTCATGTTTGATGCTTGGCTGGTACACCTGCTTCTAAGAAGTTATTTGGATGTTCCATTGGATGCCACATAACAGCTGCTCCTGTCCTTACTGCATTTTCGAAAAAATCCGAAGCTGTGTTGCTAAAATAATTCATTACAATTTGCTCATCCTTTTCAAGTCATTAATACTGAAACTCAGCTAAGTCCCAGTAGTGAGAATTCTACAAGTTTTGTATGTTTCGCTTAAGCTGAGATCCACTAAAATTCATCAAGAGTTTCTATTCTTGTAGGGGACATTGATTTGGGTAACTGTTGGTTTTTGGCTAAGGCCTCCCCTCCCCCTTAGTGCCCGAAGGTGACAGGCATCCTGCCCTGCTGGAGGATGAGTGGTACCTCCCCTCCCCCTTAGTGTCCAAGGGTGACAGGCGTGCTGCCCTGCAGGAGGATGAGTGGTACCTCCCTTCCCCCTTAGTGCCCGAAGGTGACAGGCATGCTGCCCTGCTGGAGGATGAGTGGTACCTCCCCTCCCCCTTAGTGCCCGAAGGTGACAGGCATGCTGCCCTGCTGGAGGATGAGTGGTACCTCCCCTCCCCCTTAGTGCCCGAAGGTGACAGGCGTGCTGCCCTGCTGGAGGATGAGTGGTACCTCCCCTCCCCCTTAGTGTCCAAGGGTGACAGGTGTGCTGCCCTGCTGGAAGCTGAGTGGCACTGGGATGAGACTTCACTTCTGGAGGCTCCCAGACACCCTAAGGTGTTAGCTTTTGGTGACAGTGTTCTTACTTATTTCATTTAAAAGGCAGAGAGACAAAGACGCCCCATCTGAAATTTGTTGCCCAGATCCCCACAACAGCTGTGGCTAGGCCAGGAGCTGGAATTTTTTTGGTTTTGAAAGAGTTACTGTGGGTGGGGTAGAGTTTCATCTGTCGGTCTACTCTGCAGATGGCCACCATGTCCAGGGATGGGCCAGGCGGGGGGAGTCAGTAGCTGGTCCGGGTGACCCATGCTGGCAGGGGCCCGCGAATGTGGGCCATCTTCTGCTGTTCTGCCCAGGCCGTTATCGGAGAGCCTGTCCAGGTCTGGCACGGCTGAGCACTACAGCATGTCAGGCCGTGTTGGTGTTGATGTGTTCTGGGTCTGACTGCAGGTTCCATAGATGATAGGAACCTCCTGTCCTGTGTCTGTGGGGAGAGAGAGAGCCCCTATCCCTGTTGTCAGGCTTCTTACATGCCAAGGAGGAGATGGTTACGTGCAGCCGCATCCAGGGTCTTGGGGAAGGGGTCATTTGATTGACAGGTGGACAAGTAGGATTGTAGCGGGGGAGGAGGGAACGGGGTTGGATGGGGGTGTGGGGCTTGCAACTGGTGCCCCTGAGCTAGCTACCTAGCTCCATCGTTGTTGCCTCAGAGAGTTCTGACCCTCAGTCTGAAGGGTTGCTAAAGGGTGCAGATGTAGCACAGATTTTTAACCTAATTCTTTTTTTTTTTTTTTTTTTATATTTTGACCATCTTTA